ATGGTGAGCTGTTGGAACGACGATTATACACATGATTTCTTCGGCCATGCATACGCGGTTCATGCATGGCTTGATCAACAGCGCAAGTCACATAGGGATTTTCCAACCTGGGTAGGTAGGTTACCTGGCAGGTAGCTATAACGAAGCTCCATAGTTAGTAAATAAAAAACCATATACTCTGTCGGCGAAGCTTACCGACCGTTCATGGGCCGGCAATACTCGACTCCTTGATAGTCGCCGAGCGGGCCTTTACCTGGTAAGCAAGACCCAAACACGATGTGATGCTTCATCAATCCGATGGTTCCATGGCAGCTTCTGGAATGCCCGCCCTGCATCGCGTTTAACTATAAACGACCAAGGCCGGTGGCGACCAAGAAGAGACAAGAGATCTCGGCGCTCGGCGAACACACGATGGCGCCCCCCGCGTGCGTCTAGAAGAGACGCCGAGTTATTAGTGTGCGTTAGTAACGTTACCCGGGTCCCAGCAGGTCGGAAGCCCCGATGGGAAAACCGCTTTCTACTTTCTTCCCGCTACCCCGTCGTCGTACAGGTTGCGTTTCCTACGATTCAGTTACCGCATTCGGCCGATCTACAAGAGAGAAGAAAAAAGGTGACTTTCAAGAGAGCTTCTTTTAGGTCGGTATGGGGCTTGGGGAAACGCGGCTGGGGCAGTTCGGGGTAGGCAGAAGAGAAGAAATAAAACCGAGCTTCAAAGCCTCTCGTCCGGTAAAATGGCCCTGCCTGGTTATTTGCTTGTGATTCCGCGCAGGGATTGAGGGTATACAATGTATGTAGGTACGCATATAGTATCCATCTTGAGCAAGGAATCTCGGGGTAAAGTGTCGCAAGCTCGCGGTGGCGAACGGCACGTGGCCCGGTAGAATTCCATTGCGAGCCTAAGACGCGAAAAAACCACAAATATATGGAGCGAGGGTGGAAGGAGAAGAACAAATAAGAATAGAAGACAGAAAGTAGAGTCAAGCTGTTCCCGTTTTGGTAAGTCGCGATTCTCTTTCCCTAATGGTCCGCTTCGGAGAGTCGCTCAGCAGAATACATGTCAATCCTGGATGGATCATGCAAAGTAGATGAACCGGATTGAGATTCGACGGAAAATCTCAAGTGTAAATTCCCGACCAATGAGCAGGTGTAGATAGGAAAGAGATGGGAGAGCCGGCTTAGCCACTCTAGGCGGAATAGAGTACTGTTGTTGGTTTCGGAGACTCGGAGTTGTCTGGAAGAAGAGGAAACCAGAAACCAGAAACCAGAATCCAGAATCCAGAATCCAGAAACCAAAAACCAGAAACAATAAGGATTGCTAGGGCAGTAGGGAAAAAGAAGCCTGAGATCCTTGAAACCCTAATCTATTTGCCTGTCTTGCCTGTCAGTCGACAATCCACTCTTCGCTTGTCAGCTCTTTTTATGGGAAGATAGTCTGTAGTCTGGTTTTAGATCGAGTGAGGCGGACCGTCAAGCGACCCATCCTTAATGGTTCTTCTCATCGGTCATCCATGGGTCTGGGGCTAAGAGGCTAGACCCCCGCTGGCCTACGGAGCTGCGTGCCGGCTCGTCAATCTAAAAAGGGTGCGCCGCAGCCCATGCCTGTTCGGCCCGGGCTGCCGCATGGCAGAGCCCTGGGAGATGGCGTGAGGGAAGATGGGAAGATGGGAAGATTGGGGGAGAATCCAACCCCTGTTCCCTCTGCCCCTCGTCCTTCCCAGAGACCCGTCCTTCCCATGTCCCCATGTCCCCATGTCCCGATCCCATCTAGGCCATCACTGCTTTGGATAGAGGCTAGCCCCCCCCCTCTAGGCTCTAGGGGTCTCGGGTCTCGGGTCCTTGGTAATAGACGTTTCTTCAACCTGGTTGCTTTTTCTTATTTAGTCCTTGCTCGACCCCGCGGTGCGGGTGGGCGAGAAGTGAGAAGAACGGAATCTGAATGGCCGAGTTACAGCGCACTGGAGAGATAGAGATCACAAGACGGGCCAGGGAAAAAGGAAAAGGCTGAGGATGTCCAAAGTTGACGTGGTACAGCGCACAGCCGCCGTCCCCTCCTTTCGCAGCGCAATGGCCGCTGCCACTGCCGCAACCGCTGTGACAGCCACAGCCCACGCTGCAACGCCTGCTAGTCTTGTCGCAATGGCGGCGGCGAAGCCCCCTACAACATCAATTTCCACTTTCCCGGGAAGAGAAAGAGAAAGAGAAAGAGAAACAGCCACCACGACCGCGACGACCACGATCACGACCCCGCACGCATTAAATTCTATACCCCCGACAAATCCTATACCGCAGATTGGAGTGATCGGCATCAAGAGGACGAGAAACGGCGACCACAAGGAAGGGCGAATTTCCAAGAGCAGGCAGCGGACGTTTGAGAAGAGCATGGAGCCTCCGGTCCTGTCGTTCTACGGCACCCAGCCCGTGCCGCTCCCGTCGCGGTTCGGCAGCCTGAAGAAGCGCCTCGTCGCCGGCCACGAGCCCGCGCTGCAGGCGTCGTGGGGCCGGCTGCTGGACGCGCTGCGCGACGAGGTCCGGCACATCGAGGAGCGCGGGTCGGATCTGATCCCGTCGCTCGACTTCGGCGACATCGACGACGAGGCCAAGGTGGCGCCGTTCGGCGCGCAGCTCAAGCGCTACGGCATCGGCGTGATCCGCGGCGTGGTGCCGTCGCGCGACGCGAGCCGGTGGGTGGAGGAGACCAAGAAATACCTCGAGACCAAGCACGAGTACAAGCCGCCGCCCGCCCAGGACCCGACCTGCTTCGACTTCTTCTGGACCCCCGCCCAGGTCCGGTCGCGCGCCCACCCCAACGTCCTCCAGGCCCAGCGCTTCGCCATGTCCCTCTGGAACGCCAACAACGACGACCGCCTCGCCACGCGCTTCCCCATCACGTACGCCGACCGCATCCGCATCGAGTCCGTGTCGAACGGCCACCTGACCGTCAACGGCGCCGCGCAGCCCACCCACGAGGACAGCCTGATCGCCGCCGCCGCCGCCACGTCCTCGGCCCAGATCGCGCAGGTCGACAACGGCAGCCTAGAGCGCTGGGAGCAGGACGGGTACGGGCGCGGCGGGCTCTACGACGCCATATTCAAAGGCGACTGGGAGTCGTACGACGCGTGGGACCCGGCGGGACGCATCAACGCGACGTCGGATCTGTACAACGGCGCAGGCGCATGTTCCATGATGCGTCTGTTCCAGGGCATTCTCGCGCTGACGGTGGTAGAACCCGGGATGATTCGACTGCTGCCGTCGCCGAAGCTATCCACCGCCTACTTCCTGCTGCGGCCGTTCTTCGTGCCCAAGGAGGGGCCGCCGGAGCAGGGCGCCAGCGCCGAGGAGTGGGATGCGTATCTGGATGCCTCGAACTGGACGGTCGAAAAGGAGCAGTCGACGATAATACACGGTGCCGTGCCGGGTCACGCCCAGCGCGTAACGGCGCCCTGGCATCCACATCTGCACCTCGACAAGAGCCTGGTCACGCCGCCCACCCTGCAGGCCGGCGACTACATCATCTGGCACCCGGACCAGGCGTACCAGTTCTCCAACACCAACTATCGTGGCAACAGCCGGCCGCAGACCTCATCGTCGACCGGAAGCGGACCCGCATCCGACATGACGTCGATGCTCGTGTACACGCCCGCGGCGCCTTTGACCCAAACCAACGCGCTGTTCCTAGCACGCCAGCGCAAGGCCTTCCTGCGCGGACATCCCGGCCCGGATTTCGATTCCACCGGCACGGGTCTCGGCAGCGAAGCACCGCACACGGGCCGCCTGAGCGAGAAGGATATCCGCGAGGTGGGCGGCGAGGAAGGCCTGCAGGCGATGGGCCTTGCACCGTGGAATATCACTCCCGCCAGCACTGTCGGCAGTTCCCACAAGCACGCGTCGTCGTCGAAGGAAAAGAAGGACGCCCGTGCGGACGGCATGGACGTGGACGCGGCCAGCCGGAGCAGCAGCCGGGACAGCCGGAGCAGCAGCACGAGCAGCAGCACGCACGCGCAGGCCGAGGTGGTCCGGCTCGCCAACATCATCCTGTTCCCGGACCGGTACGACTTTTACATGCCGACGCGCGCCAGCAGCCCGGCGCCGAGCCGGGAGAAGAACGAACGGGAGCGGGAGCGGGAACGCGAGCGCGATAGGCATAATAAGGAGAGGGGGAACAGGGAACGGGATAGGGATAGGGATAAGGCCAGGATAGAGATAAATAAATCAGCCAACGCATCATAAAGAGGGAACTGGGAAGGTCGGGGCTAAGGGGGTTGCTTGCATCATCGAGTACGAGGGGAGGTACCGGCTGCCGAGCTGGTAGAGCTTGGAGACATACGTTTGAAATTAAGATGTACATATCTATCTCACTACTACTCTCGCAGTCTATTCTACGAGAATGCGCGGCGTGGAGTAGTAGAAGGCTAATTGGCTAGTCAATCAAGCTAGGTCTATGAAAGACCTCTGATTCTATGATCGAATATCTCTTCCAATTGCTGCCGCAGTGTTATCTCGGTGTTACCTTTGTATCAAGGGTACCAACCTACCAACACCGAGAAGCATGAGACATGTTGTCGTCCTAGCTTCAGAGAAAACGACACAATTACGTAATCTTCAAGATTAGCTGCAAGCCCCTATTCCATGTTCCCTCCTCGAGTTTCAACGGGGCCCCCTTCATGGAGATCACTCGAGCCCTCAACTCTCGGCGGGTTGGAGTTGAACGCTTAGAACCAACAGGGAAAGACATCGTCGCGTCAAGGAATATGGCAAAATATTTGACTTCAGTGGATTTCTACATTTTTGCAGATGGTGTAATAAAAATTTACCAAGACGATCTCGCTAAAGTTTCCACGTCATGATCAAGCAGAAGTCAAAACTGCGGGTTTCGCAGCATACTGCTGATACACACCTGCGTGACCATTATCCCATCAATCCTACCTAGATGTCGAATAGGCATCTGAGTATCCAAGTAACCAGGAACGAAACTAGAAAATATATAAAAAAAAAGAAAAGTTTGCTAGGGGCCAGATTTGAACTGGCGTCTCCGGTCGAACAAGTGGATGGACATTCCCATGTTCGTGGATGCCATCAGACCCTGCTGTTCTCGGAAATCCTACCACTAGACCACCCTAGCGTGTTTGTCAGTGCTTCTCATGGTAATAAATATTAACATTGCAACTTATCCATATAACCCTTTCTTCGGAGGCCCCTGCCCCAGCAGTCGGCCTGCTGCTGAACAACTTGTGTAATGTCGGCGATAGCCCGTAGATTGGGTATATGTCGAGGTAGTTGTTGATCCAAAATCAAGCCATCCAAAGGGATCTTCCTATATACCTGGGTAGTTTCTACGGTCCAACCTATAAACAAAACAATAAAGTAAGAAGTAAGTAGGGCGTGAACAAGCTTCGAGCTGCCGATGGCTGACTGAGCGGAAGGTAAAAAGGCTGGAAAGGCGAGCGACAATGTGAAGGAGATAGAGCCCTTCGAAATTTGAGGAGAGTACCTCTTTATCCTCGGAGGGGGCAATTTGTTTTCGAGGAATCATTTTACTCTGCTTCGCCCCTGGAGTACCAACGTGCCTTTAGAGGGCTTGCTTCTTACGCCTACGTGGTAGTGGTGATGATGGGAACCAGATCAGGAGAGCCAAGGGAGCCGCGCCATGGTGACTACAGCTTGCCTTAAGTCAATTATTTAGGTTGATTACATTCAAAGACATGTCTAGAAATCTACCACTGTGCATCGAGATATCGTGCTATCATTGTTGGCCGGACCGATTCAAGCTCTCGAAACACTGGGCCTCGGGCTGGAATGGGGATGGCAGGCGACGTAGCCTCATCGACCCAATTAGATACACAGAAGGACATGAAGATTTCGTTATCACCATAGGAATATACAATAGAAGAAACCTGAGGCGACATCATGTGAGATAGCGCCGACGTATCACTTATAAGCCTACAGTCCTCACCTCACTCTCCCCTAACGACACTAGCCGTCTCCGCTACGAAAATCACCCGAAATGACCAACGGCTAGAAAAGTGTAAATGGCCTCCCTATATACCGATATTGTATCGATTCTTATTACTCGTATGCTATGCACTAACTTCAAACGCCGTCCCTTTGCAACCTTGACCTTGCCGCCGCCGAACGCCAAGACCATTTTGGGTATCAACACCAGCCAGTTAGTAGCCGTTGAGAGTACAAAGAAAAAAGGGGCATTCTTAGGAATTCATTCAATCAACCATTCTTCTTGAAGTCGCCATGTAGGTCAGTCACCCCAGGTTCCCGTGGGAAATAAAACGATAACTCCGACAAGCATAAACCATGCTATCATGTACGCAATGCCGGTGGCGGCACGTGGAAGGTGAAATCGAAGCTCGACCGGCCACCATCACCAAAGACCACGGGGAGCCCGTCGTATAAGTTGGAATCCGGAGCCGGAGCCGGAGCACCAGCGCCGAGGCTGAGCTTCCTCATACCCTTAGTCAGACTGGAAACTCGGCTGCCTTGTCGCTTGCTGCTGGATCGGTTCGACGTGGGTTCCGGACGCTTGGCGGGGACCAGCTCCTCCGCGTCCCATTCGCAAGTCAAGACCCTAAACTTGACGCTCTCCGGATCCGCCGGGCCCTTGCCGCCCTTCTGGCAGAACGCGACGTAGTTGTCGCGAACCCACGCCAGGGTTCGGAAGACGTGCGTGTTGACCTTGCATAGTTGGGGGTCCACCTCGTAGTATGTGCGGCCGCCTTCGCCGCTGGCGAAATGCTCGCCTTGGTACCCGTAGTCTTGCTTTAGTGTCAGTTCTAACTACTAGCTAGCTAGTTCCTCGCTCATACCTTGCTGTGCTTGGATGCACTGAGAAGGCGCGGACTTATCGCGCTGGTTGCGTATTGCGAGACAGTCCATGAAGTAGAAGGATTCGAGATTCTTGAATAGGGCGGCAAACTCGAAGACGTGCCGCGGCCGGATGCTGCTGTGGTCTCGATGGGAGTCTTTCATGACGCTGCAAGTACGACAGATCCGACAATCCTCATCCCACTTCGTGCTGTAGCGAATAGCAACACGGCGAACCTTGGCCAGTTGCTCGAGATCTACTTGATTGGCCCATTGCCCCAAGGATCGGGGCCAGGTAGCGCCTGGATAATCGAAGCAGACAATATCAGAAGAGCGTTCCAGGAGAACCAGGCGACCGTTGTTGAGGGTTAGATTTCCCGGGCGGGAGATTAGTTTCTCCACCATCATCTTTGCCTCGTTGCAGGTCAGTGATAGCTGGGTGAAGGTCTTGTTCATGGTGAGGTAATAGGACTTGTCGGCAGCTGGGAAGGGGAAAACAGGTTCGAGAACGCTGGTGTATCTCGGGCGTTTAATGTTCTGTTCGTTCTCGGTAGACGGTCGTCGATTCGTATGAGAACCGCCCTCGGCCCTACTCTCCGCCCTGTAGCTCGAGTTGTCATGTGCCAGTCCGTTGCGGCGTTCAAACTTGAGGAAGTGGATGCCGGGTGTGTAGATGATATTCTCCCAGACCTGGAGTCGCAGCTCGAACGGAAAATCCGAGAAGCGGTCGAAGCGCTGAAGGCTTGCTGGCAGAGCCAGGTGGAGGGGAGAAGACATGACGGCGTTCGATCTGTAGTTGGAATCGGATTGGAACTGGAGGTTCGACTGAAGTAGGTGATCCTCGATTATGAGCAGCGGTGGCTGAAAAGTGACGTGCTGGGTTTACTAAAGGAGACCGCCGTTGGCAGGCTGACCAGGTTACAACGGAACGGACGCCCAACTATACCAGCAAAGGCCCATGTGGCTCACGTACGACCAATGAATCGGGGTTGGGTGACGACATGCAGATATATCAAGAACCTATGCCTACGGCTTGGGTTGAAAGGATGGACGACGCGAGCTGTGCTGTACAGGAGATGTTGCGGATGCAAGGGAATAGGAAGAGATAAAGGCGGGAGAATAAATCAGGTCAAAAAGGTGATATGGACTCTAAGTTGCAAGTACAAACGGAGAGTCGGAGGGCCGCAAGGTTCCAGTCACTTGGGGAGAAGCCGGTGCTTCAGTTGGAATTGTGTACCTTACCTATGTACCTGGTAGGTGTAGGTACTTGCGCAGGTACGGGAGCACCTGACTGTCAGGTGTGATACAGCAGTACCTCTTACCGTGAGTGTCTTACGTGTATGCAACATGCAGCTGCGTACATCTATGCGTGTATCGTGTATCGTGTATCGTGTATCGAGCCAATGGGTTGGGAAGCGTCAAGGCAAGTTCTAAGAGGACACAAAACATGAGGCTGAAAGCTTTCGAAAGGCAGGAGCAAGGAGGTAAAGTTTGGAGGTAGGAAGGTAGGAAGGTGGGCTGGTGGGATGTACCTAACAATTACGTTGGCAGTTGGGCTCCAGCTGAGTGCTCTATCAGCCCACCCCACCCCGTACCCCGCCATTCAGGTGGGGTTTGTGTGCTGTGACTGAGCTGTAACAAATCAGGTAACCTAGGTTAATAAAGAAGCTTGAGATGATCAAGATGATGACTGAGAAACCTCATCTTCGGCTTTGGGAAATCAGACAAGATACACGTATTTGATACCTGTCAATTTCTCATCTCCTAATAGGAAGTACACAACCTCCTTTTAATTAAGATATTACGTCCGATAACCTTATCGTACATAAACCGAAGCCACTCATTCCGCAACGTATCGATAACCACATTTCCGGGGTTCTCATCACAATTCGACATCAACCGCCTCACTTTGGAAGCTCCCTCTAAATGCATCCTCGCCGGTACCAGCATTCTCCAGCGAAGCCTGACTGATAGCGTCGGCCTCGGACGGCCACACGCTCATCCACTCCCCCTTGCAGACGACGCCGACCGTGGTGCCACGTAGCCTGCCCAGCGGCACGATAGGCTCCCTGAGCTCCAGCTCCTGCTCCTTGGTCTGGCCCGCCCCGATCGTCGCGAGCGAATCCGCCCCAGGTGGCATCTTGCGCCTGATCTGGATCGTCGGGATGTCTATGGGACCACCGTCGCTCGCGAAGGACAGGAGGCCCAGCTGCAGGGCCAGAGGGTCTAACGGGGAATTCCAGGTCAGGACGGTAACGGGTTCGGGGTTCGCATTGGTAACAGCGATCCCCAGCTTCGGCGGGGAGGTGCTGACTTGGCGCACCGACACCTGGAGATTTGGGATGACGTTGCCCGACGCAGGCATCTTCTCGTCGGCGGCGACCTGATCGGAAATCCCAGTGGTGATGCCCGAGTATCGGAAGAAGAAGAAGAGGGTGCCAGTCAATAAGAGTAGCAAAGGTAGGTTTTGACTTTGACTCGACCGTGGGACGCACATAGATGCTGTTTTAGGTGTGAGACGCACTACCGTCGTAATAGTGTTCTAGTTGCAATTCTTTGGTTGACGGTCGATTATTAGTTTCCCGAATTCGACCTTGCCAAGAATCAGGCTCTAATTCGCGACCATGAGGCGGCTCGGACGTGGATGCAAGTCTGGTGCGTGTGCAAGAGGCTAGGTAGGTGGATTGTTAGAAGATGCAGCTCTCGTGTTTATTTAATATTCGATCCGAAGAGTTGATAGCGGCAAATGTTGCGTCACCTTAGGCAGCCGCTGAAGAAACAGCTTCTTGATTTGGGCCTTCCGCGATACGGATATCTATCTCATCGCCAATGCCCAGAGCTGTGTGTTAAGCCGCCAAGCTTCACTGGTCGAAAGGGGTAGGTGGCTTGAACAACTTTCGATGTTATTTATTCCTCCTTTTCTTTGTTTCCTCTCATTTTCTGTTTTGTTAAAGACCCTTACATCGCTTGCTGGGGGCCTCATAACCGAAAAGCCGACTCGCAATTTCATAAGCTAAAACGAGACTTTCTAATATCTATTCGTTGAATATATCGTCAATCTATCATAACCTGTTCACAAAATAAACACTATATCCCCTCATTATCTACCCTTTCCAACGCTGTACAGTCATATAGGTATCTATCTATAGGTGTACTTTCCCCTTCCCTCCCATAACAACAAAAGCAGCTCACACACCCTCCGGTTTAATCAAACACATCGGTAGCATACCGAGTATTCCTCAGCCCCTCCCACCACTTCGCCGCCTGCTCATCCGTCACATCTCTCCCCCCGTTCCTCTGCTGATC